AGTTCTCTCCTCCCCCCCCTCTCATTCTTCCATTCCTGAGACCGGGCTGCTGTTTTGTAGGGGGCGGGAAGTGCAACAGAGGTGCAGGAGCCCTGTGGCTTATTCTTAGGGACAGGGCATCTCCCTCTCTCCCCCGGTTCATCACTGAGACCAGAGATGGGTGTAACAAGGGAGTTTGTGCCTGTCCTGATACTCGGCCTTGAGCTCTCCTCCCCCCCCTCTCATTCTTCCATTCCTGAGACCGGGCTGCTGTTTTGTAGGGGGCGGGAAGTGCAACAGAGGTGCAGGAGCCCTGTGGCTTATTCTTAGGGACAGGGCATCTCCCTCTCTCCCCCGGTTCATCACTGAGACCAGAGATGGGTGTAACAAGGGAGTTTGTGCCTGTCCTGATACTCGGCCTTGAGCCCGTTAGCCTGACTGGCTGCTGTGGCATGGGAGGGTGGGTTATGCCCAGCCCTGTCCCTGCTCCCCCGTCCCAGAGACCTATTGCCGACATTCAGAACCGGCTCTGGGAACCCCACTCTGAACAGCAAAGGCCTTTCCTCGGCCTGTTGCTGCTGTCACAGGCCCCCTTTGGCAGGTTCTGCTCGAGACCCCACCTCGGACAGAAGGCCACAGGTTCCCAGGAGACAAGGCTCGCACGGCATGCCTAAGCCTTAGCCAGGCGAGGTCAGGTGGATGCCTTAGTGTCAGCCAACGTGCAGGTCTTGACGAGATTATGGGAATTATCCCAAACAAGCCCTCAGTCCTGGGGCCGGCTGTGTCCGGGCGCGCCTGGTTCTGTTACTAACAGCCTGCTAATCAAAGCCGCATCTCCAGCATGCAAGTGGATCTTCTGGTGTTCAATGTAGTGACTCTAGTTGAGACCCACTAGATAAAACACTGTGGCGGCTCCTGTCAGTGCCGGTGTCCTCGCAGTTGTGAGGTGTACGGGAAGCCGAAGGGAGCATTTGGTCCCGGAAGATGGCGCCACGCTCGGGTTTAAGCCAGCTGCAGGTATGTAGCTGGAATTGGATACCTTCACCTGACCTTCCGGGTCCAGTGTACACCCCGGTGCAAGATTCCTGGTCACATACCTGTTGGAGAAATAACCTGATCTCATTGTTAGTTTATTCCCTCTGATGTCCTCACCAGCAAACCAATCCCGCTCTGGTGCATGTTCCAGCTACTCACTGGCGCTCTGGCTTTGGAAGGGTCTGTCTACTGAGGACACGACAGAAAGGGCCCCAGTAAGGTTCACTGTCCGTGCTCTGAAAACGCTGCCCTGCTTCCAAACTCTGGTAGGCCCGTGGCACCTTCCATGGGGGACAGATGGCCCTTCTAGCGCAGGAGAAAAGAGATGCGCTGTCAGAGTAAAACGTGCCCTTCTGTATGCTCTGTTCTCTCTTGTAGCCCAGCCATACGGAAGAGAGATCCAGCCTCTGGAGAGCCCAAGTCACCTAAACCCTTCCCAGCTGCAGGAGTTCAGTTACTCCCCTCTTCACATGGCAAACGAGGAAGCCGCTCTGCTCAGCCCCAAAGCCCAGGCAGAGGCAACCTTGCAGGGGATTGGCAACAATCCCGCTTTGTTTCAGCCTACCCCCCGGGAGAGGAAGCCCGCTGTGGTTTCCAGCACTTCCTGGTCCAGCAGGGTGGAGAAACAGCTGCCGGACTCGATGGACCTCTCGCGGCTGAACGTCTGTGTCAACGGCCCGTCGCCTGCAGGAGCGAAGACTCGGAGTCGCTTATATGGGACAGGTAAGAACTGAGCCCTGTATTGTAGCTCAGGATTTTGGGGAGCCCTCGCCCGCCGCGTGTCTGTGCCTCTCCGGAGCAGGTGGGGCAGCAGTGCTGGCGCGAGGGACCATGTCCCCTGGAAGCCGTGGCGAGCCTGGGCTCGGTGCGGCATCGTATCTAGGCTTGTTGCAAGTGAGAATTTCCCCGGCTGAGCCGGCTAGTCCTCTTGCGCGTGTTCTGAGGTGGCTCTGTGAAGCTGTCTGTGGCAGACTGTGTCCCTTGACTCCCAGGGGAATGGGAAAGGGATCCAAGTGGGGCAATCCCCTGGCCTGACTTCATGGCCCCACACCTACGGTGGCTGAAATATTCGTGTGGGGGACCTCCACGCCAGCTAGGTCTTGGGCTGGCGGGAAACCCGCCTGGGGCCCCAGATGCTCCTGAAAGGACCACAGCAGGGAAAGACCAGGTGGAGAAGGGGTCAGTGTGGCCCCCAAACCCTTCGCCCTCCAGTTACCCTGCCCAGAACACCCCCACCCCGCTTCCCTGCAGCATGTGTCCCTGGCTACGGGACGCTGTAGGAGCGGGTCCCATGCCACTGACAACGTTTCTCCCCGCCTGCTCTTCCAGGCAAAGCCCCCTTTGAACACAGCCCGGGCTCCTGAGTCGCGCCCGGTTAGGTCTGGGCGCAGAGAGCGGGGCCAGACAGACCGTGGGCCCAGCCTTCGTCGCGGATAAGCTCTGGGCATAACACTGAGGCCCCCATGACGAGGCACTAAGCAGCGCTTGGATTTCCAGCCCCAGACACCTAGACGGATGATCAGACGGGCCCTCTAGATTCCTCAGCCCCTCTTCACTGCAAATCCGTACAGAGCCACGGCTGACTCGGCTCCCATGCCCCCTTCTGCTTTGTTGCAGCTCTCCAGCAGCATGGAAGCGCCCTCAATGCCTCGGACCTGCTGGGTCAGCCGCAGCTCTCCTCCCTGGGAGAATTTCTTCCCCCCAGCCTCTCCAACAAGGAAGGGGACTACGCAAAGACAGTGTTTCCAGGGTCCTTCAAACCCCCTGAAGCATTTATCCCAGGAAGTCCCCCAAGGAAGCCGCTCCCCCACGTGAACAGCGCCCGGGACCTAGTGAGTGAGAAAATCTCCGTGGACATGGAAGAGATACGCAGGAAAAAAAAAGTCTGGTTCTCGGAGATGCCGGGAGGAGATGAGCCGCCGAAGCCCCACGCCTATTTAAATGGTAATGGTGTCCTTTCCCCTGGGCTGGCTGCCAATAACTGTAGCTAAGGATGGGCTTCACCAATGCCAAACACAAGCTGTCTCTGTGAGCATGGAGGCTTTGGGATGCTCTCACCCAGTGTTTCTCCGCCAGTGGTACGAGTAACCTCGGGTACTCGAGAGACGTCTGGGGGTCACGTCAACACCACTGACGTCTGGAGAAAACTGAATCTTTGTGTGAAGTGTTCCAGCGTTGTATTATTTTTGTACTTGTTGCACCAAAAAATGTCATTGCCCACCCGGCTATGATTAAGTTCTTTAAACAAATGGGTTGCAATGGTAGAAAAAAATTGTCTGAAAACTGTAGGTACCAGGGGTACTTCAGTTTTTTTTTTAAAAAAGGGGTACTTTATATAAAAAAAAAAAAACGGAGCAGGGGGAAATATGGCCCACGGGCTGAGTCCGGCCCATGGGAGCTTCTGCCAGCTCCCTGTGTGCCCTTCCCCTCCCCTCCCAAATCCTCAGAGCAGCTCTATGAAAGCTGCAAGCCCATGGGGGGAGGGGGATTTTGCAAGCTGCCCCCAGTACAACTTGCAGCTCCCATTGGCTGCCTCTTTCGCCCTTTCCCCTCCTCCCTCCCATGAGCTGGATCTGGCCCTCGAGGCGCTTGGCTCCCCTGCCATAGCGGGAAGCCACCCACACCGGGCGGGTGTGCAGAGCAATGGCAGCAAATCCTCAGAGTGCAGCCTGTGCCCTGGTGTGGAAGAGCCCATCTTGAAATGATTGGGGGGGGAGGGGAGGTTGTGGTTGAGAAGTCCTGAATATGTCTTGCTTTTCTCCTTCTACATGTATTTATTTACAAAGTCCATCTCCACGAGCATTTACATAAGCCAGTCTATTTAAGGAGGCAGAGGTTATCCAGTTTGTGCATGGCTCAGCAAAGCCAGTACTGTATTGGGTTGTATAGAGGCACATCTATGTGTAGAACCTGTGTGATGATACAACCTCTCTTCTGGCATCTGGCTCAAACCGTACCGTAAAACGTGAACCTGAATCTCTGCATGGGGAACACCTTTGGGCTTTGTGGCTTACGTTACGGTGTAACCAGCCTTCTCCTTCACACAGAGGTTGAGCTGAACAGCAAGAAAAATGGCCGCATTGTGGGAGAGATTGCCTTCCAGCTAGACAGACGCATCCTCGCTTATGTGTTTCCGGGAGTGACGCGACTTTATGGTTACACCGTGTCCAACATCCCTGATAAAATCCGAAAGGTAAATCCACCCTCGAATCTGATGGAGAGAATGGTGGCTGGAAATCTTCCAGCGGAACTCGGAAAGCAAAAAGTTTCGCGGACCTGTCACTTTTTGAAGCTCCTTGCGAAAGAGGAAACAGTATTTCACTGAGGTGGGAATGGTCCGCCTGCCCTCTTCCCTGGGGCGTCAGTTCAGCTAGCGTGGTGAGAGAACTCCATGTCCTGGGGTGACTGGTCCCCGTTGCGGAAGGGCTGGGCCTGGCTCCCTTTCCCTCCGAACCGGAAAGCTCACCAGCGTCCTACAATGCTTCAGAGGAGAAGCAGCGATTGACAGCTGCTTCACAGGCCAGCCAAACCCAGCTCTGCCCAGACAGACACTCGGGGTCTGCGTGTAGGGCGTCATGGAGGGGTGTCCACATGTGGGCCTCCTGCCGGGTCAGGCCTGCCAAGTCGGGGACCCCCCTCAGCTTCCATGCTCGCCGCATCGTGACAAGTGCAGTTTAAGGAGGGTGACCCCGATTCCTAGTTGAAAACGGGGCACCTCAGCCACACGCTGATGTCCCTCACCTGTGTGAGGTGGCTACCCAGCACCCTTCCCACCCTGCCTGGGAAGCTGTCCCCCATTTCTGGAACCCAGCGGGGTCCCCTCAGGAACCTGTTGCCCGTCCCTGGAGCCCTATGCTGGAATGTTGCTCCCTTTTCCAGTTCTGCCCCCGCCATTGTATCTCTGCCTGCCCCCTCCACGCCACACCTTGTGCTTTTTGGCAAAAATGGGAGTGTGTCCCGCTGGCACGAGCAAACTGAGGAAGTCTGAGGAAACTGAGGCAGCATGAGCAAATGGGACACACTCCTCCTTTGGGGTGGGGGGAAGTCAAGCCAGCTGGAACAGAGCATAAAGGGGCTGCCCTGGCCAGAACAAGGTGTATGGTCGCCCTCGGCTTGTGGCTTCGGTGTCCCCTCTGGCCGTACTGGGCCTTGGTTCTCTAGCATATCGTCCCAGACCAGGATGTTTTGGATGCAACTAGAAAGTGGAACCCCCCACACCCGCTCTGTGCCTACCCCGAAAAGGAGCTAATTGCCTCTTCATGGGTTTTGAAACCTCCTAGGCCTCCCTGCAGTGCCTGGATGGCTCTGTGGACGAGAAGAAGCACCGCGCCATGACGCAGCGCTACCTGTCCCTCACCACGCGCCTGGAGAAGATGGGCTACAACCGGGACATGCACCCGGCGTTCAGCGAGTTCCTGATCAACACCTACGGCATCCTGAAGCAGCGGCCCGACGTGCAGGCCAGCCCACTCCACAGCAGCCCGGCGGAGCTGCGCCGGGTGGTGATCGACGTGGTTCCCTCCAAGTTCCTGGGCGACACCTTGCTGCTGCTGAACTGCTTGTGCGAGCTCTCCAAGGAGGACGGCAAGCCGCTCTTTGCCTGGTAGGGGGCTGGGTGTGCCGGAGCCGGCTGGAGGGTGCGTCCATTCCCCAAGACGTGAGCAGAAAGCCTGAGTTTGAAATACAGATGTGGGGTTTGTTTGTCTATGTCCTGGGGCGTGTTCCGAGCACTGGGCTCCGGTCGGCCTGTGTGTGTGTGTTTTTTAATGTGATAGGTTCCTACCTTCCTCATCGTCCTTTCGACCATCCCCCCCCCCTCGCCCCTCTTCCCCTCCCCCCAGGGCA